TCCCGTACAGGCCTGATTTTTTTCAGGTCTGATTTTCACTATTGCTTAAATAGCGCTATCTACTGCGAGGATCGTGCATCATACGTATCTAATACCGCAGTTCAAAATATATGAACTTCATATATTTCATTGTATCTGAACAATATCAGTACTTCAAAAAATGTTTTGAATTTAATTCTCACAGTCATGTATTTTCTCTAAATAATTTTTTCTACCCTCTTAACTATCCAGTTTAATTTAACTGAATAAGACAAGTTGTTTGGCCACAAACCTCCAAATGGGAACTAGATTTTGAGAATAAAAAAACAGACCACCAAATTCAATTGCTTAAAACAAAATCATCTTTGAATGGAAATTGTTATGATCTATTAATCATAAAATTTGCATTATCGTCCTAAGATATTACTGATACTTTGTAAATCTGTTCAGCTTTTCATCCAGAGAGAAGATACCACAACAGAAGGCATGAAAGACAACATTCGCCAACTGAGTGAGCGTCATTTTTAGAATGTATAATTAAAAGTTTTTATAATATAATTATAACTTAACTACTGACAAGGTTACCCATGTCAGTAGTTAAGTTATATTTAGAATGTATAATTAAAAGTTTTTATAATATAATTATAACTTAACTACTGACAAGGTTACCCATGTCCCCTGATCCTAATGTTGGGTGGGAGGGGATGGGGGTTCTGGTTGGTATCTTTAAAATAAAGAACCACTTTTAAAGACATTTTAATGTCTAGATCTTAGTCATTACTTGTAGAGTCATCAAGTCCAATAACTTGTTATTAATAATACACATACAAGGTTGTCAAGTATTTGGTTGCCTAAAGTTTATTTTTCTTTGTGAAAACATTCCATGGTATTCACAGTTGGCTTTTTGTTGCCATCTATAGCAATATACCCCCATCTGTCTCTGAACAAAAAACATTTACAATTAAAATTATATTAGATCTCCAAAATTAAAAGTAGTTTGTAATACTTTTGCACAGTGAAAATCCTGGGCTTCTTAGTTTCAACATTTTGCTGAGCCTCATTTTTTTTCTAGACATTGGATCCATTTGGTAGATGACTACTTTTTCTTGTATGCTTATTCTTGGTTTTTTTAGTTAAGTGCTGAATATTTCCTGCTTCTATTGAGCACAAAAAAATAGCTTGGACAAAATCAGGGATTTCTATTAGTAACGAATGGAAGAATGCCTCATGCTAATTCACTGACCACTGAATTTAAATCATTTTTATGCTCATTTTTTAGTGGCCAATTTATAGATGGAATTCTTTTTTAAATGTATCCAAATTTAAAGGCCCCAAGCATCTGTTGAGGACAGTGGTGGACAAGATGGCAGCCTTGAACCAGATGGTCCCAACTACAATCTTTCAGGAAAATTAACGGAATATTCAAACACTTACAAGGTAATAACACTTTTTTGTAGGCTGAAGTCAGTCAATACTAATTCAATTAATTCATCATTCTGTTTTTACTCCACAGAAAATATTATTGGATACTGTCTCCATTAATGGTACATTTGGGATAAAATCCTTCAGCCCCTTGACTCAAAAGACATGTATCTGCTGAATGTGATTTGATGTTAAGTTTTAATTTTAAGTGTAGAAATCAATATAAGGACTATGCACATGAGAAAGATAGGCAATGTAGTCAGGGCGCCTCACCTTCGTTTGCCTTCACGCCTTTTGTATATTGTTTTCCGTTTTCAGTTGTCTGTGTATATTTGTTATTTTATTAGGTTCACCAGTCATTTTTGGTTACATCGCATTTCATATTTTTGTATTCATTTTTTATGCATTGTTTCTATTGTTGGTATAGCTTCTTCTGCCGTAGTTTTCTTGTTGCTGTTGTCATTATGTTTTAGTCGTCGTAGTCGCCGCATAATCTTTTAAGTTTCATTGTTTTGTCCATCATTTTCAGTTGCCTGTTTTATTTGTATTTTGTTTTGCTTTCCAGTTCTGTACATTTAGCTCATTTATGTACATTTTGCCTTTAGCAAATCTCTAGTAAAAGTGCGAATCTCTTTGGTATGTGGATTTCAACTATAGGCAATACACAAGCTCTTGTAATTCACCACCATCACTGCCACCTCTGCCTTCTGATAGCAACTGTGTGAATTGAATCACAGTGGTAGAGGCATATATTTCTGACTCAACCGCCTCACAGTTAGCTCAATTGGTTAGAG